GACAGAGCAACAAATAATTAAAGCAGAGCAGCCAAAGTGGCAGCTGTACTATTTAAAAACTAAAATGCATTTAAGTGTTGCTTAGTGCAGCATTTGGTTAATTGTACCTACGCTTGAATTACCTACAAGCTGCTCAAAGCAAGCCAAGTAATAATACGAGATTCTGTGTTTGGACTGCATCCATCTTCAATTTCAACTTAAGGCACTTTTGCCTCCTTAGAGGCAAAAGTGATGGGCGTTTTGAGACACGCAGTAAAACAGTGAATCCAATTATGCCTAGATATAGTGCATTCAGACAAGGATATCCTGGTTTAAAACAATGTTGGCATTTAATTTGGGTATTCGGGTCATTGCCTAATCGTGTCCGTCGTGGTTGACCTCGTGCCTCTACCAAGGGTTCGACTTCTCATGCTCATACCAATGAAGCGTTGTTTTCGTGCACAACCAATAACACTTTGTCACGTGCTCCAACCAATGATTCTTTGTCTAGTGTTTCTACCAATGACTCGTCTCACACGTTATCGTGTGTCCATATCAACGACACGTCAGTGGCGGATCCAGCTCAGAGTTTTTTTTTTGGGGGGGGGGGGCAGACCATAACAATTTATCGATTCTTTCCATGCCTCGTCCATAGGCGTAATGTTAAAATTATGCCGTTTGGGAGGGGCAAATGCCCATTTTGCCCCCCCCCTGGATCCGCCACTGCGACACGTTATCTCGTGTCCCTACCAATGACACATTATCTCGTGTCCCTACCAATGACACCTTATCTCGTGCCCCTACCAATGACACCTTATCTCGTGTCCCTACCAATGACACTTTATCTCGTGCCCAATTTATTTAATTACTTCGCAGTGGCCGTCCTCTATCTAAGACCGAAGTCAAAGGGGCTATTCTTAGCACTGAGTCAATAAAAGATGGCGATGAAGTGGGCAAAAGAGCATCATGCGTTATATTGTGTCCCTGCCAATGACACGTTATCCAATCTTCCTACCAAGGACACGTTATCCCAGGTCCCTACCAATGTCACGTTATCTCGTACCTCTAATAAATTCACATCGTTTCGTGCCCCTTAGCAATGGCACGTCGTCTCGTGCCCCTTAACCTTCGCCCCAGTGGGGGGGGGGGGCATGTGTTACCAGTACCACCCTGTCGCGCTTTTTGCGTGTGAATAAAAAACCGCGGCGCGTAGGGGGGTAGGGTAGCTTTTCGCACATCAATTTTGGACAATGTGTGAAATTTTTACCCCAGGTCATGTCAGGTCAGGTCACCAGGTCAAGATAACTGACCAACTCTACGTGATGAATATCATGTGCAACACTCATGGTCTTCCTTTTTTCATGATTCACTGGAGAGGCGATGCTGCAAATTGCGTAGCGCCGCGCCGTGATGAATATCATGTGCAACACTCATGGCCTTCCCTTTTTCATGATTCACTGGAGAGGCGATGCTGCAAATTGATGGCTGGGTCTGTGGACCACCTGCAACACGTCAACAACGCGCAGTGTGACCCCGTCTGCTCCTGCTGGCGTGTCTAGCGCCACTGGCCGTCCGGGCATCTCCACGGCACCACACGGCTCACAAGTGGCGGCTGATGGTGGCTCGGACGCCGGTCCCTGCACGGGAAGGGAGGGGCCACAGCGGTCTCTTGGTGTCGTCACGCAGCGCTACAGCTGGCTCCAGCGCTGGTCCGAACGCCTGCATCGGTGCCAGAGACGCTGGCGCCAGGCCGCTCATCTCTAAGACTCGTCACGCAGCGCTACAGCTGGCTCCAGCGCTGGTCCGAACGCCTGCATCGGTGCCAGAGACGCTGGCGCCAGGCCGCTCATCTCTAAGATTCGTCACGCAGCGCTACGCCCGGCTCCAGCGCTGGTCCGAACGCCTGCATCGGTGCCAGAGACGCTGGAGCCAGGCCGCTCATCTCTAAGACTCGTCACGCAGCGCTACAGCTGGCTCCAGCGCTGGTCCGAACGCCTGCATCGGTGCCAGAGACGCTGGATCGGGACCACTCATCCCCCTAGACTCCTCAATTAGCGCCACAACCGGCTCCGCGCTGGTCTGAACGCTTGCGTCGGTGCCAGGAACGCTGACCCCAGGCAAATCATATTCCCTGGACTAGTTTTTAAGACAGCTCTCGGTAGTTAAAAGAGCAACAATGGCGCTGAGTTTAGTATATTGATCTGCAGTTAGCCAATGCATTAATTGCAGTCTAGCTGCATTCTCGACAAAATTAGCAGTGATGTGTTCGCGGGTTCGGTTGGGGGTTGTTGGGCTTTTTCCTCACCCAAAGACAGTGTGGGAAAGCAAATACATAGACCCGGGACCACACCACTGTCTTTGCAAGTGCGAACCTACGAGAAATGCAGCATTTTTGCGCGCACGAGCACAAATGACCTTTCTCGCGGGCGAGCGCGAGCCCAGCGCCATCTACAATGTGACCCGAGTGGTAGCCGGCTGCTAGTGATGTCAATTACGGAAAATCTGAATACCGATACCAAACTAAATACCAACCAAAACCACGGGAAAATACCGAAACCAAACCAACTTGGGAAAATGAGGGAAATACCAACTTTTTACCGATTTCTTAGCCTCTTATACATTAGTGAGGATTTATGGTACCAACAAAATACCAAACACATTACGATTGAAATACCAAATACCAAGTTGGTATCGGTTTGGTATCGGTATACCAAAAAGTTGGTATCCGATTGACATCGCTACCGGCTGCACCCGGCCATTTCACTGCGCGCGTGTCACCTGAGCGCACGGTTCGATTTGGCGCGACATCCACCGTCCGCCCCACCGCCACCAGTTTTGGCATATGTATCTAGCCAGCAACTGTGTTAGATATACTTGTGCTCTGTGAAAAGCTTTACCATTTGATTGTTTGTGATCGGCTATGGGCTTTTTCCCTCACCCAAAGGCAGTGTGGGGAAGCCAATACATAGACCCGGGACCACATCACTGTTTTTGCAAGCGCGAACCTACGAGAAATAACTATTACGTGCTCTCTTTTTCATCCCCAGGGCAGTCAAATCCTTCACCTCATTCTTCAACGACTCTAAAAACCTGGTCCGAGCTAGACCCCTGGACGGTCACCTCTATCCGAAGCGTGTAGCTCCCCAGAAGGATGCTCAAGTGCGGTGAGAACGCATCAGTGGGTCTGGGTGAGCTGTTTATCGTGTCGGGCTCAGCCGCCCAGCAGCCCCATTCAGCCCCATGCAGGAACCTGCAAGCAGGTTGGCCGCCCACTGCCCAGTGCCCGGTGTCCCCAGGCCTGTCTCTCCCTAATTCTTATCATGCTCCCGACACTGCAAAGGTCTCGCAAGATCGAAAGAGCCTAACCTTGCAAAATAAAACAAGGAAGCATCAATATGAGCTATCATTGACGTTGCTAAAGCGTTTTATGTAACATGTTCTATCTAACATGGAGTGTTTCTATCGCAAATGCCGCAACCAGCCATAGCAGTTGCACTGGGTTAAAGGGACTATCCCACCTTCTAAAATGTTGTTAAAACCAGTTAAATTGTGCCCGACTTTAAAGATTGGATGACCAGGAACACGGTTCTGGCATTTATTTTTCATTAAACATCTTAGGCTTCCCATATTCCAAACACAAACTTTCAAATATGTGACGACACAGCCCAAAATTACCTCCTTCCCCAGGCCACATTACTGTCATAAAGCTGATTCTTTTTACTCTGTAGGCACCACAACAAAGTTCAGACCAAGTTTTAAGCGATTTTTCAACGAACAAACCCATTGAAATCAGAATGACTAAACGAGGTGACGTCACACTAACGGTCGCTCCATGTTGAAGATAGGGCCTTGTACAAGGCCCATTTTCAAATGAAGGGAACGAATTTCTTCAACACCAAGAGGCCGCGGGGGTTGCAATCTAGATAGATAGTGGTTTCTGAACCTCGCCGCAAACTTGGCTATCTCAACTCAAACCCCATGTTAAAGGTGGGATAGTCCCTTTAACCTAGCAGCAACTGATATTCGCGAATCTGCTGCTGGTAGACAGGCATTTTCCGTTCCACGAGGCTCGAATATGCTGCTTCTGGGCCTGGCACGATTTAAAAGAAAGCCCTCTTCAGCCGACATTGGGCTAAAAAGGCAAAATAAGAACTTGAGTCGTGTTCTTGTCGCTTGTCCCCACTTGGGATGAGAGGTACAGTCCACAGCAGAAGTAATGTGGGGTTTCAGTCATGGGTATGTTCTGCTTCTGAAGCTTAGGAACGATTTACCAGACTATAATGAACCTTTGAATGTAGCTTATATGTATCGTCACCCTTGCAGCTGCAACTTAAGCTATTGACATCTTCTTTTCGATCGCTCCGCATTAAACAATCGCCAGTCAACGCCAACCGTTGAGATTGGTAAAACCCTACATTACTTTACATAGCGGTGGGCTGTACAATTAAGTGTATCTGGCATATTATGTCGAGAGTTGGATTGAATTTGATGCGAAAGGGGCTTAAGTTCAGGGTATATTGAGTGAAGGGTAGGACGAACTTTGGTAGGAATTTCTAGTATAACTACTAGAAAACCTACTATATGTGGTCGGGACTAGCAAAAAGTTAGTTCAATCTAGAATATGGTAACGCTTATGGTTGGCAGTCGTGACGCGCACGTGACAATCATTTCTTAAATTTCTTAAATAACAGGTTTTAAGGGCCGATTAGTGGGCAGATACATTCAATTAGCTATTAATAATTGATTATGCAAACATTCAAGAATTTACATCATTTAATTCTAGCCAAAATCACGCGGCGCTCCCAGGATTCGAACTCACGACCCTCGGATCTGTAGCCCGATACGCTACCGACTGCGCCAAAGCTGGGGAACATTAGTGTTGCCAGCGGGGGAACTCCAAACGGGAAGAGGGAAGGAGAAAGAAAAGATTTTGTAATACATTTCGGCCCAATGTAAGGCACTCATTCTCAACTACGAGCATCCAAGAGCTCACAGAGTCAATATCGTCGCCCTCCCTTAATTCCGTCGGGAGATATTCCACGCGAAAGCTATGGTTCCTTTCTTGTGATCGGGAGGTATCAATTGAAGTCTTTGATGATAGTTTCCTATGCTGGGGAATGGGCGTTGCAGTCTCTCTCTCGACCAATCAGAGGGCGGAACCGATCGATGATCTACCGGTTCCGAGTCTGGTGGAGCAGTGGACCTCTTATGAGCTTTAGCAAAAGGTGCTGGAGATGCCGGAGATGCGTATGCTCTACTGAAGCAAGATTCAGTCGTATCGGTAGAATGCATCCCGGAGCCAGCAAATGTAAACAAACGTTGGACAAAGCACGTGAGTCTGGCGAACATACAGCGCCAAGTGTAGGTCATTAATTTTTTTACATTAATGGCATGCATGGGCAGTGTTATGCTGAATATATTTATGTTGAAAGTCTTGAAAGTGGGTAGAGAAGAAGGTACCTTGTCAGTATCGATTTCTGTTTCAGTTTTGCATCGACATTGTTAGAGGTTCCAACGTATTTGATTGGTATCACCGGAGTTGGGGCATTCCACGATAGATCGTACCACTTTTTTCCAATTTGACACCCTCATCTCTCGGAATTTCACGAGAATTGGTTTCAGGGGTAATCAGGGGCTCTGAATCCACCTGTAACAATTTCAGGCTTATCAGATAAGTATTTTTTGAGTTATGGTGTATAACATTTTTTGGATCTTGCTTTGCAGCGCTAAGTTTGGCGGGCTGTAACTCTAAGACGGATTATTCAAATGCCAAATGTTATATAACATTGAACTTGCAATGAAACAGAGATTAATGTGTATTTTTGAAATTTCGAAAAATACGCTATTTTTGATATATGACATATCGAGTTTTCTTTCATTTGTATTTTTTGGACTTTGGGACCAAATTTTTTTGAATTTTTATTTCTTTAAAAAAATATGTGGCTCATTGTTAAGAAGTATGCCAAAAATTAGGAAGGTGTTCTTTCTATAAATGTATTTATTTTACGTCACGATAACGGTTTCGAATAGTGATTTCGGGAGGGGAGCTTATAAATGGCGTGGTAAAGCTGCCTAGTGACATCACGGGTTACTGAAATTTCAATTTAAGTCTGAGTCATCTGAAAAAAAGTGAAAAGAGGGTTCATCCAACCCTCTTTCCTATAAGCGCGAGGGTGAAAAAGGCTGTTTGGTTCTGACTTAGATTTGGACGCCAATGACAATAGCTGTCCGAGATGAAAGTTACAGGACGCATACATGGTGTCCTCCAGAGGTCTCACAACTTGTATATCTGGGAATTTTTCAAGGTTACATGAGGTCAGGTCGGTCACGTGACATCACTGTTATAAATCAATGGGAAAATATAAAAACTGTTATTTTGGCGCCGAGAATGATCTAAAACTATCCCACGTACATGGTATCGTGATTTCATGCACTCCTTGCAAAGTCCAATGCTTTACTTTTGCATTTTTAACCTTGCGTGACGTCATTTATGACGTCACTAGGGTCGTACGAGTTTTTCGTCAATAACTCCCGATCAAATGGAGCTAGAGAGTCGGGAAAGCCACCAATGGACTCGGGAAGACCTTCCGAATCGAATGATATGCCATATGATACCCTTTGCCCAGCTTCGTGACCTGAGGGGCTCTGACCTGACCTTGACCCGAGGTCAACTACTTAAGTTGACCTCACCCTAGCAAAAAGTATACCATTCGATGCACCTGAGCTAGGCGAACACAATGATGCCAAAATCGCGGCTCTGCGGCCATTTTTTTGCGAAGTTATTTACTAAAAACTGAACCCGTAACTTCAGTCACGTGACCTGACCTCAGACGCTACCGGTTGACCTGAGACCTTAAAATCGGGTACCAATCGCTGCGACCTGTAACGGCACACCAGCACGTTTTTTTCCGCGAGGCTCTAGCTCTATTAGAAAGCGAAACGGCGTGCTGGGGTCGTATCAACCCCTCCGAAACCCATTTTGTTTGCGGGAAAATGAGGAACTTATAGAAAGAACACCTTTCTAATTTTTTGCATGTCGATTTGCAATGACATGAAGTTTATTTTGAAAACATAAAAATGTGAAAAATTTTGGTCCCAAAAGTCATTAAAGGCAAATGAAAAAAGATTAAGGTTTTTGCTCAACAATGAAATTTTTTCTTTGGAATTTTTAAATAGTAATATTAATTTCTGATTCATCGCAAGCTTAGTGTTGTTTACTTTTTGTTGGTTGCCTAACCCGTTCTTGAGTTATAGGCCATCAAACTCACCGTTACATACCGAAGTTAAAAAAAATGTAATGCAATTTAACTCAAAAAGTTTTGATCTGAGAAGTCTGATATTTTGCCAGGCGTCTTTGGGGCCTATGATTACCCCTGGGACCGATTTTCATTAAAATCTGAGAGATGAGGGTGACGGGCCTGGTACGATCTATCGTGGAATGCCCCAGTTGTCATAATGATAAGGTTTGCATGGAGGATGTCAAATAAAAGGACATTACATTTTAGTCAAAACTAGGGTTACCCGCGTGCTCCGCAACGCGAAGAAGGGTTATTTTTGACCCGTGGGTATTGGGTTGGTCTGTGTCGATTTGGTTGGTGTCCATTTCGTTCGATTGCTTTTTGACGGCCAAACATTTTGTAGTGAAACAAAAAAGATCCATCGCATCGAGGTGCCCGTGTCGTATTATCATGTGTTCTACTTTAGAATGATTCGAAAACTGGCGTGAAGTCTTTTGAGGGCCATCGATGAATTTCGCTAAAAATGACAATGTAATGGTTTGGAACATTTACATTTTTAAGGATACTGTTGCTAATCATGCAAAAATGAAGAGTGAATATTGGACAGAATTGAATGCTCTATCCAATGGTACCATATTCAATTGCCAAAGGTATCATGTTATGCAGCAAACCCCGTGTGATTAATAAAGTGGCACAAAATTGACAAACACCATTTTCTCCTGTGATTTGCACCACCTTGATTTGGATCAATCAGCTTTTCACAATTTTTATATGAGAGGCGGTACCTTTCTCTTGCAAATAGGCGTTGATTCAACTCGCTCCATTTAACGGTCACCTAAAAATAAAATCAATTCCAAAATCCGTCAAAAACCGCATTTTTTCAACAAAAGTGCCCTCCACGGTGCACGTGGCGCGTGCCATCCCCTGCACCGCACACCATTCGATAGCCCGTTCAATTCTGTACACGATGCTGTTTTCCCCGTGCCGGTCGGACCCCTGGTCACCAAGATATTGCACGGGAACTGGACCCGTGTCGGCCAAAATTAGCCGCTTTCGCCCGATTTCGCACGCCGATTTATACATGTAAAGTATATGACGCGAATTTGCACTTTTTGAGCACGCGCCACGCGCTCCTCATCAATCCGATCGAGCTGAGACCCCTCAAAGGCACGTCGCGCATCCTTGATCTATAAGTTGTGCAAATTTCACCGGCCTAGGTGCAAAGGTCTGGCCTGTAGTCCACGCAAAGCACGACCAAGTCGGGACCTCGGTAACGGACAGACGCACCCTCCTCAAATAGTAATATAGATAAATGCATTGTTCATAGGTTTATTAAGTATGATTTAATTTTATTGAGAGCAAGCATTTTTGAAATAATTACACTGTTTAAGCTTAAAACAGTAGACGCCTAAAACATGGAAATTTTATATGAAGGCCCTCTGAAGCACCGTACTACTGTTGACAGAAAACAATGGGGAAAAGTCACAAAGCCTTTGGACAAGCCATCTGGGCCCAGCGCCTGAAAAAATTCGCACAACAAAAATGCTGGACGCCGGACATGGGCAGCAGGCCCGGTCCGAGACAACCAAGGGCTGTCCTTGACCTGTATAACAAGGTGAGTTGGAGACATATTGAGCTTAGATCGCCTACCATCAATTGTTAACTTTCCGAAAAATCTACATTTTCTTAGTCTCTTATCTTAGTCTTCTTAGTCAGAGGTATACAGAGGTCTATGGTAATTGGTATGTATTATCATTAACATAATATATGATTGTATTTGTGTTTCAGGTCCAAAGATGCCCACGGCAGTGCGGCAGCCAGCAGCCGCTGACCTTCCGGGGGGTGGCTGCGCTGCAAAGAGGCTGTAACTGTGGACTGCACAGTGTAAGAGCAGACAATTCATGGAGAACTTCTTGATGCCTAGTTCCCATATACTTGTGGTTTTAAATGACTTCTTTTTGGTACAGGGATGCAAACATACACCATAGAGTATGAGAAAGCCCTTATGAACTCATGTTCACATGTGTTTGATTAAATTATTTTTCTTTTAAAGAGAATCCTGCTCAATACGCATACCATAACAGTGCACCATTTTTCAGTGAGTAACTAGGTCTCATTCTTTTTCAGAGCCCCAGTCATCATGCACCATTCTTGCATCCTCACTAGAATGTCAGCTGTGACTGGGTGGTCCTATTTGATGCTTCTAATCACTATTTCTGACTAATTTATTTGCTTGGTGTTGGACATGTCGCTGTTTTGCTGTTTTGCTGTTTTTTTTTGGGGGGGGGGTGGTGGATGGCTTGGACAATAGCACAGTATAGTATTTTGAGTACATCTGTGGTGTGTGCTGTTTTAGAGTCATATTTTTCCCAGGTTTATGTTTGTAGATATAAAACTTTATCGGAATTCACTGGGATTGTATTGCGTATGCAAGTCCAAATATTTTTTTTAAATCAGACAAATGATTAGTCGGAAATATTCTCCGAACAGCCGAACGAAGACTTATTGTCAACCAGATAGGTGAATTACAAAGAGAAAAGGCGAGATGTATTCGACGGAAAAGCGACATCGAAACAAAACTGAACGCTACCCTCACGACGAACGACTCGACGCTCATTTCCCGAGTAACAAACACATCCGGCGACCGAGAGTTTCAAAAGTCCAAGTCTTCATTGGTGAAGAAATTCAACAGCCTAGTTGAGGAACAAACACGCCACCAACAAGCAGTGACAAAACGAAATGTTCTCACGCCTAGTGTGGTGGAGAACATCAGTGGGAAGGCCCTCACAGACCATGAACTGGCAGTATTGAGTAAAGGTCTTGGATTTGCGCCTACTCCAAGATATATCCCAGTGAAGGAAATTATAAGCGCCGTGGAAGCTGCACTAGTTAGAGCACAGGACACCCGCGAAGCCAACCGGACTCGTGCGAAGATCGCATACGTTCTTCAGAAGGCGAAGAAGAAGCCCATCCAAGATAACATGTCTCCGGGCGAACGCAGAGCGCTGCATTCCCTGTCAACTCGTGATGACATATGTGTAGTCCCAGCTGACAAAGGGAACAAAGTCGTAGTGATGTCACGGGAAAACTATCATGAGAAAACGCAAACACTTCTGCAGGATGACTCGTATGTGAAGGTCCCCAAGGATCCTACAACCAAGAAGGAGAACACGCTCAAGAACGTGCTGAAGAGCATGGTGAACTCAGGTGACATGTCAAGGCCTCTCTACCAGAAGTTAGCGCCTCAACATTCAACAGCACCAAGGCTCTACGCTCTACCCAAAATCCACAAGGATGGTGTACCCATGCGCCCAATTACAAGCATGATAGACTCACCTGCCTACAAGACCGCCAATTACCTCACCCAAGTGATTGGACCTGTACTGGGCAAAACGGAGTATACTGTAAGCAACTCGAAGGAATTTGTTGAGCAGCTGAAGGACCTGTCGGTGCTGACATCGGACAGAATGGTGAGCTTCGATGTTGTCTCACTGTTCACGAAAGTGCCGGTAACGGAAGCGACTGAAGTGGTGTGCAGGAAGCTGCTAGCTGACGACACACTGGCTGACAGAACGGAGCTATCAGTGTCCAGCATTCGCCGACTAATAGAAGCTTGCCTGGAATGTCGGTACTTCCAGTACCAAGGCGAGTTCTATCTCCAGCGCCAAGGAGCTCCGATGGGCTTGAGTCTATCGGTTGTCCTGGCGAACGCATTCATGGAGCATTTGGAAGAGAGTTTAATGGCAAGCTGCTCGCTGAAACCTGTTGTGTGGCGCCGGTATGTGGACGACACATGGGTGCTCTGGCGGCATGGTGAGCAAGCCTTAGCCACTTTCCTCGATGAGATGAATGCCATTCACGAGGACATCCAGTTCACGATGGAGATTGAAAATGAAGGAGCCCTCTCGTTCTTGGACGTCAATGTCTCCAGAAACAACTCTGGAGGACTAAACACTGGAGTGTATCGGAAAGCTATCGCCAGCAACTCATACATCCCAGCATCATCACACCATGCACATTCCATCAAGCGAGGGATCATCAAAAATATGTTTGATCGTGCCAGAAATACTTGCAGCTCCAGTTCGTCTCGCATCAAGGAAGAAATGACGCTGTTTGAGATCTTCTCCAAGAACGGCTACAGTAAAGACTTCATCCAGAGGTCATCGCGGAACGTCTCGGGGAGCGAGCTAGCCACTGCTCCTGCCCCCTCTAGCGGCGGTTCACTCTCTGCACATGCACCCTCCGGCGGCGGCGGTCCACCCTCGGCACATGCACCCTCTGGCGGCGGTTCACCCACTGCTCCTGCACCCTCTTGCGGCGGTCCACCTTCGGCAACTGCATCCTCCGGCAGCGGCGGTCAACCCTCGGCAACTGCATCCTCTGGCGGCGGAGATCCACTCCCGACACCTGCTCCCTCTGGCGGCGGAGATCCACCCTCAGCATCTGTACCCTCCGGCAGCGGCGGTCCATCCTCGGCACCTGGTCCCTCCGGCGGCGGAGATCCACTCTCGACACCTGCATCTTCCGGCGATGATCCAGTTTCGGCACCACCTGCATCCTCTGGCGGCGATCGACCCTCGGCACCTGCCTCCTCCGGTGGCGACCCGATCGCTAGTGTGACCTCCGGCGGCGGCCCTGTCGCTGCTCCTGTGACCTCCGGCGGCGGCCCAGTCTCTACTCCTGTGACCTCCGGTGGCGACCCGGTCACTGCACGAGCGTCTTCCGACGGTGATTCGGTCACTGCACGAGCGTCCTCCGGTGTCGACCCGGTCACGGCACAAGCGTCCTCCGACGGTGGTCCAGCCACTGCACGAACGTCCTCTAACGGCGATCCTGTTGGTTCTACGTCTTCCTCCGGTGGCAATCCAGTGATCGTCCAGCCGTTCTCCGACGGGCCACGTCAGCCGCGCCCTAGCCGTCCACGGTATGTCTCCATCCCATATGTGAAAGGGGTCAGTGAGCCCATATCACGATTTTTGCGTGCCCACAACATTGTCGTAGGACACTCGTCAAGAAACCTAAGGAACACTCTGGTTCACCTAAAGGATACAACCCCAAAGGAGATGAGAAAAGGCGTCGTTTACGAGGTGGAATGTGAATGTGGAGATGTGTACATAGGGGAGACAGGAAGGCCTAAGTCAGTGAGAATGAATGAACACGCCCAAGACATCCAACACGGACGCAGATTGAAATCGGCACCGGCACGACACGCAAGTGAGTGTTCTGGTCAGATGCGCCCTTTGGAGGCAAGAACAGTAGCCTATGTCAGTGATTGGAGGAAGAGGACAGTGCGCGAGGCCATCGAAATAAAAGAGAAGGATCCAGATATGAACAGAGGTGTTGGAAAATTCGCACTGAGCCCAATTTGGGATTTGCCTCTAAAAAACGCAAGATGATTTTCGTTCCTCTCATCACTGTAGTATGAGTGGACTGAATTAAAACTAATGACACCGAATGTGTTCTGTGTATAACTTCTTGTCTGTGTGTTTGTATGTATTTTATAGTTAAATTTACAGCATACTTTGATAGGAAATAGTGAGTGTATCTAGATATTCTTAACTTGGAATCTCCTACATGGTTGATAGCGCGCGGGGATTTGATTTTTTTTGTCTGTGAATTTAATTTAGAATTTTGGGTATCGCTGCAATGTGAGCTATACTTATAGGGTTATTCTAGTTGTCCAGTGACCAAGGCCAAACAATATTGGCCGAAATATTTGGACTTGCATACGCAATACAATCCCAGTGAATTCCGATAAAGTTTTATATCTACAAACATAAACCTGGGAAAAATATGACTCTAAAACAGCACATATCAAGACTCTACGGAAAGAGTACTTACGAACTAACCGGTGAGTTAAAGACAGTTAAGTGTAAGCTAGCTAGGATTTCGAACCAGCTAATTTTCCTCAAACGATGCAGGGATAAAGGCTTAACCCCGAGAGGCTTACGACTGAAGAACAAGTCAAACAGCGAACGATCGACCAAAATTCTCCGAACAGCCGAACGAAGACTTATTGTCAACCAGATAGGTGAATTACAAAGAGAAAAGGCGAGATGTATTCGACGGAAAAGCGACATCGAAACAAAACTGAACGCTACCCTCACGACGAACGACTCGACGCTCATTTCCCGAGTAACAAACACATCCGGCGACCGAGAGTTTCAAAAGTCCAAGTCTTCATTGGTGAAGAAATTCAACAGCCTAGTTGAGGAACAAACACGCCACCAACAAGCAGTGACAAAACGAAATGTTCTCACGCCTAGTGTGGTGGAGAACATCAGTGGGAAGGCCCTCACAGACCATGAACTGGCAGTATTGAGTAAAGGTCTTGGATTTGCGCCTACTCCAAGATATATCCCAGTGAAGGAAATTATAAGCGCCGTGGAAGCTGCACTAGTTAGAGCACAGGACACCCGCGAAGCCAACCGGACTCGTGCGAAGATCGCATACGTTCTTCAGAAGGCGAAGAAGAAGCCCATCCAAGATAACATGTCTCCGGGCGAACGCAGAGCGCTGCATTCCCTGTCAACTCGTGATGACATATGTGTAGTCCCAGCTGACAAAGGGAACAAAGTCGTAGTGATGTCACGGGAAAACTATCATGAGAAAACGCAAACACTTCTGCAGGATGACTCGTATGTGAAGGTCCCCAAGGATCCTACAACCAAGAAGGAGAACACGCTCAAGAACGTGCTGAAGAGCATGGTGAACTCAGGTGACATGTCAAGGCCTCTCTACCAGAAGTTAGCGCCTCAACATTCAACAGCACCAAGGCTCTACGCTCTACCCAAAATCCACAAGGATGGTGTACCCATGCGCCCAATTACAAGCATGATAGACTCACCTGCCTACAAGACCGCCAATTACCTCACCCAAGTGATTGGACCTGTACTGGGCAAAACGGAGTATACTGTAAGCAACTCGAAGGAATTTGTTGAGCAGCTGAAGGACCTGTCGGTGCTGACATCGGACAGAATGGTGAGCTTCGATGTTGTCTCACTGTTCACGAAAGTGTCGGTAACGGAAGCGACTGAAGTGGTGTGCAGGAAGCTGCTAGCTGACGACACACTGGCTGACAGAACGGAGCTATCAGTGTCCAGCATTCGCCGACTAATAGAAGCTTGCCTGGAATGTCGGTACTTCCAGTACCAAGGCGAGTTCTATCTCCAGCGCCAAGGAGCTCCGATGGGCTTGAGTCTATCGGTTGTCCTGGCGAACGCATTCATGGAGCATTTGGAAGAGAGTTTAATGGCAAGCTGCTCGCTGAAAC